AATCTCATAATAGCATCACATTTAGCTATCAGTATGCTTTTAAAACAAAGGCAGTCAAAGTCAACAACAACAGAGCAAATTTTAGCCGGGTGCACTACTATTTTTTTCAACCCCCTCCTGCCTGCACTACTATTACAGACTGCACCACTATTATAGACTGCACTACTATTACAGAAAATACGGTATATGCTTAACGTTTTTCATCCCATTTTTCGATTGACTTTTAAAATAGGTTTCTATAGAGAAAAGTGGCCTAATTGTCGCTCCTTAGAAGTGCTATCAAGAATTCGAACTCAACCTCAGAATACTATCAGAAAGCAAAAGGTTTCAATAACTCATAGCAACAATAACTTCTAGCGACGATCAGCCATTCGTTTCACAGCCCCTCGAGGCCAAGGTCTACAGTGTTCTCGTGCCGGTCGGATGTGCGCCCAGCCTATCCGTCAAGTCGCACAATGCCCCTAGTGGTGGAGTTTATTGCAACATTTACTGGTGACAATTCTCATTGATAGGCTACATCCGACAGCATGAGATTTGTCAAGGAACAGTCGCCGTAGCTACGCAGGGATTTCACCAATTCGGCGACGAAATGGCCGACAATTATGAGCTGCAACAAGAACTGCATTGTGGTGAGATTTTATAGCACCAGTGTTGCAACACAGTACATCATTGTTGCAACTTGCCGAGGTAGACTATCATCACCACAGCAAGATCGACACGAAATTGGCTCAATCAGAGTCGAGAGACTTACAGATTTGAGCGAACTGATCGTTCTGATCGTTCTGATTCTGATTAGTTGATTATCTTCTGATTAGTTGATTATCTTTGAGCATCCTTGACCTTTAATATGATATGGATTGAATTTTATGGGAAAAGGTAAAACCCGTTCACTCAATAATCTCCCTAGGTGCTTGGCCTGTTGTTTTCACGTTGGAATTTGTCGAGATACTCAGTGGACGGCTTGTCATCAATTTCAAATCAACGGATGAGGGCAATTTAGAGCACGAAAAGTGAGATATCTTACATATCTTGAGATATCTTATAAGAGTGAGATATCTTATAAGAGAGAGTATGTCTTTTATGCGATTTTAGAAAGAACGGCCCCACCGATTCGGCTGAAAAATTGGCTATAAGTGTAAAATTTTATCTAATTTCCAAAAATCAAATTAGTTTTGGGGGTTAGTGAGGCCGTTTTTGTAAAAGCCGACTTACTGAAGCTCCTACGCATGGCCGAGTGCGGCTAAGGCGCCGACTGTCAGTCTGGCGCTGGAGAGAAAGACTGTCATTCTGGCGCTGGAGAGAAGACTGTCATTCTGGCGCTGGAGAGAGGACTGTCAGTCTGGCGCTGGAGAACTGTCAGTCTGGCGCTGGAGAGAAGACTGTCATTCTGGCGCTGGAGAGAGGACTGTCAGTCTGGCGCTGGAGAGAAGACTGTTGGTTGGACTCCCCTGCTGCTCAGAACGGTTTTTTCAGCTTTGTTCTTTGATAGAAATTGGTCAACTGCAGTGAATATAAAGGCAAATTTTGAGTATTTCAGCTAATCAATTTGTTAAATTGATTAACTGAAATACTAAAACATTTACAAATCTGATTTTCACATAAAAAGTATAACCTTGATGGTTCCTTGAACTCCGTAAGGCTCCGACCATCCAACAATTAACTGCCGGTGATCACGATGAACGAGTCGGTTGAAAATTTCTCATTACAGGGTCATCTGGAGTGCAGATGGTCCGAAAAAACCGCCCAACAAGACGATCTATGGTGCAAATCTGGCTAATGTGGGCATTCTCGGATCAATTCACAAAGCATTTCGAGATTTAGTTCATGTGGACTCTCGCCGAGACACCGGAACCAAGCCTCACCCAACAGGAGGGCTGTTTTGCACGAGTGCACATAATGAAAGATCCGGGATACAGCCGAAAAGCCCAAACCGTTACCTATCAGCGAAACTCAGCCGCCCAAGCGGTTCCTCACTTTTTCTCGTTTTTTCTGTCGTTTTCTGTCGTTTCTGGCTTTCTGTCTGTTCGTTTTTTGAGGTCATTTTAACTCGATTTAAATTCCCCTCCTGGGTTGTTGCATTGGAATAGACAATTGAGCTTTTTATTTTTATTTGAACACCAAAGTCGATTTGTTCAATGGAAATCTTTAAATGATCTTTAAATGACCTTTAGATGATCTTTAAATGATCTTTAAATGATCTTTAAATGATCAACCATTAGCCCATTCTTTTTCATTGCTTGAGTTTTGATTATATGAAAAAGTGTGAAAACAAAGCTTTCCCCGTTTTATTTAAAAGGTTTTTGTAGAGAAAAGATTGGGTTTCTTAGCTTTCAATTTTACTACTATTATAAGCGTTTACTTGTTTAAGGTTTAGTGTTTAAGGTTACTATTAAATTGAGTTGAGAAGAGTCTACAGGAAGAATACCGACATTGGCATTGATTCTATAGTTTTCATTGAAGTTATAGTTTTCAAGAGGAGATTCAAAGCTATCAAATTACTAGTTTAGATCGTTTTATTTAATTATTAACTATCGGAGCGGTTTAGTTTTAACGTTGAATCTTCACCTAATTAGTCAAAAAAACAGTAACAGCTACGCGACTGTACACTCAAATCCTCACCAGGCTGACTGCAGGCCCAAATACCTGGATAATTAAAAACTTTATTTAAGTAAATAGTGAAATAGAAGCGAAATGAGGAATCAGTTTCTCCATTAATAACGAAAGTTTTTTTGATTTTGAAATTGAGTAGAATGGTGAAACAGAATAATTGAAATAATCGGATTTTCGGTTCACATTTGGTCAGGCGTGATTCGCGTAGTGTGAAGTAAGGAAAATATTTCGTTTTTAAGAGAAATGAAAAGGGAGGGGCAGCTTGTGTCATCCCGAACGATTTCATTCGGTACAACTTCTGGATTTCATTTCAAATTTGTGAGTTGATCAGATTGATCAGATTGATCGTCATCCGATCAGATTAGTGAATTGATCAGATTGATCAATTCATCGATCCGTTTGATCAGATTGATCAGATTGATCAGATTCATCCGATCAGATTGATCGAATTGATCAGATTGATCAGATTCATCGATCGGAATTTGATCAGATTGATCGAATTGATCAGATTCATCGTCAGATTCTGTCGATCAGATTGATCAGATTGATCAGATTGATCGCTCGAATCGATCAGATTGATCAGATTGATCAGATTCATCGATCAGATTGATCCGATTGATCAGGGTGATCGCTCAGATCGTCAGATTGATCAGATTCATCGTTGATCGGATCGTCAGTTATCATCGAGAATTCTCAGTCAGATTGATCCAGATTGATCGCTCGATCGCTCAGATTGATCAGATTGATCAGATTGATCGATCGAATTCATCAGATTCATCAGATTCATCCCGATCAGATCGACAGTTGATTCGAAAAACTGATTGACAGCTACTGATGAAGACTTTTGGAAAAGTTTGCTAAAGAAGATAATACTTCAGTATACTTTGATTAGATATGTTAGAAAGAACTAAAAACACGGCTTCTGAAACCAAAGACAATGAAAATCGTTGAGGGTTCCCACTGTCTCTTCCTTTTTACAGAGTGCGCCATAATTGTCGCAACAAGTTGTCGCAAAGTAATTCCGATAACCCCTTTTTGCCTCTTCTCAAGAATAGACGCTCTTTCCCTGAGCTCATCAACATTTTAGAAACACCGTTTGGACTCATCAGCAATCGCACCAGCCCACAAAATCCAATAAAGTCCAAGAGTTCTGCCAAAGTAACTTCCCGGACCTCATTTCTTTTTCTGAGTTAGCTCTTTAGACGTTAACTCAATGGATTTTCAGTGTTGTCGGTTTTCTTGAAGTCAAAGCTTGTTAGCTTGTTCAAAAACCCCACAAAAACATTGAAAGCTTGAAGAAATCACCGTTGAAAGTGTGGGAAGAGCTCGATTCAACCTATTTGATCGCCACCGTTAATGTCTTCCCGCCTGCGACGCCTGCTCAAATGCTAATGGTTTCAAATTTATTAGTTCATTTATGAAATTGTTAATGTCCAGCCAATGTGTTATTCAGTTGAGTTTGTCTTTTTTCTGTTGTTTGGCTTAAAATCAAGAACTTTATCTTGTTACGATAATAATTATTTCGTACCCACACCGCTGAAAATTTGGGAAACTCAGTGATGTTTGTACTAGGATTGGAAACAATTTTAGTACTTTCTAAGGAAACCAGGGTGGAAAGCATCTTTAGTTTTAGAGTTGAATAGGAGAAGAAAAGACTTGCTGTTTTTCAGAAATGAAAATGACTTTCCTTTTCATGTCTTTTTTATAGAACAGATGAATCGCTGAATAGAATTATATTATTATATTCTTATAGAATAGATAAAATCGCTGTTGATCTTAAGATCTGCGTTGGCAAGTTTCCAGAAATGCTCTTGATTCACTAAAAACTTTCCGCAAAGGTTTTTGAGAATTCTGAGAATTCCTTTCTCATTAGAACATTTATCTAGACAGTGACAAATCGTTAATGGTAAATGAAAAGAACAACAGTAATGGTTCAAGAGTACATATCATTTGATCATTTTGCTTAGAATGATTTGATCAGCTTAGAATGATTTGAGCAGAACTTTTCTTTGATCCGAATGAGATCAGGGCATTTTCAATGTTTAATTCTTCCAATCAATTTCCAATTCTTCAATAGAGTTCACCAAAATTCTTGTTGTCTCGAAAATTGAATAGATAAAAGATGCCAAAGTCTGTCAAGAAGAACTAGAACTAGTCAAAGAGCTCATCAAACAAAACAATGTTTACAAAAGCATTCCTAGCTCAGTGTGAGCTGATCTATTGGAGTTGGAGTTGGTCTGTGTGGGTTGGAGCTGATCTATTGTGGAGCTGGAGCTGGTCAACGTCACAACTTTGTTTCGCTGAGGGCTGTAGACTGTCTGGCTCAAGTCTCAGGCCTTGAGAAACTTGAGACTTGAGCCAGTTACCTAGATCACAAATAACAGGGAAAACTCGATTCTTTCCAACAATGTGCCACAACGATGACAATCACCGTCAGATCAGTGGTCAGTTTTTGTCTTATTCTAACTTAATCCAGCGGAGCCTGGACCTGGAAATTTTCGTCTAAAACACCCCTTCTTGAATATGAGCATGAAAATCTCGTGAAAAGAGAGCTCACTACATGATTCTAAACAAGAGCTCTTCACAGCTGCAATCTTTTGATTAGATTTTTTGATTGGACCCAAATTTTCAACTAGCCAAAACATAATAACCATTATTAAGTATTAAGGATATCAAAAAAACAAATGAAAATAGTTATTTGTTTATCGAATCGGAACCAAATGGAAACCGATTGAGCACCAATTCGAAACCCAATGGGAACCAATTGAGAACCAAATGGAAACCAAATCAGAACCGCCTGGGAACGAGATTGCAGCCAAATCCGACCAAATCCGAACCAAATGAGAACCAAATGAGAACCATCTGGGAACCAATTGGGAACAAAATAGAAACAAAATGGGAAAATTTCGAACCAAATCCAGGACCAAATGAGAACCAAATGGCAACCAAATCCGAACCAAGTAGGAACTAAATGGGAATCAATTGGGACAAAATAGGAACAAAATTGGGAAAATTCGAACCGGTTGGAAAGGGTCGCAACCAAATTCGAAACCAATTGCGAGCTAATTGAGAATCAAATGGGAATCTTTACTTCAGTTTGCATAAAGGTTGTAGTGGAAATGTTAGTCTTTTTGAGTCATTAAGAATATTCAGGTGTCCGGAAAGGGTGTTTTGTTCTTTTGATGTTCTTTTGAGCAAAAAGAAAGCAATATTTTGTTAAATAGTCGTGCAAATGAGCAAATGGGCAGTAAATGAGCTTTAGTAGTACCCGAAAGGAAAACTGAAACGTAAATGATAGGAAGTCTGTAACATCTAAAATCTAACAATGACAATCCGTAAAATGATAAGAACCCTATGAAGAGTTTTAGACTTTTGTCTAATTAAATCATGTTAGAATGAAAGTATTTGATTTGAATGACTGGAAAGATGTTTCAAACGGGTCAGAGCCAGGATTTGTTCAGTTCTGATTTCTAGGCCAGTCAAGAAAGAAAACCAGGACAAGATCTGGCCTAGCCTTTTCGAAATAATGAAATTTCTCACTATGAGACAATAGATTGAGGCTTTACAGTACTCAATATTCAATAAAAACAAACTTTTTCTTTTTAAACAAGACTATCACTTTTGCCGGTTGATAGGCTGAATATCTTTTGTGAGTGAATACCCGTCATTTTTTCTTCCCGATTTGATTGAGATATTGTGACGACTACAAAAACAGAGACAAACGGCAACGAAAAATGAGAAATACAAGCAAATTCGGAGATATGGGTAGATCAAAATAAAGGCGAGATTTCGAGACTTATCCAATCGGCAAGGTAATCTGTAATATTGTAAGATTGTGGAGCATTTGATGCGTTACCCTTGCCATTTGCCATTGGCAATCTAACTTTGAGCTCGAATTTCTTGGTGTTGGGACGTTCAATTTAAATGTTTTTGGTATCATTAGATGCGCCGCGTCTTTCTCTATCGATTGATACGAAACTATTTCGTTAAGTTGGACGGCCCAAAGCGAGAATTTAAGCACAAAGTTAGATTGCTATGGCAACTGGGCAAGGCGACCTTTTAAACGCGACCCGGCCCCTTCGCCCATTACCTGTCTAACTTTTAAGCTTAGGGCGCTTTCTTGGTGTTGGATTGTCCGCTTAAATGGCACTTGTTGGTATCATTCGATGCGCCGCGTCTTTCTCTATCGATTGCTATAAGAAACTGTTCCAGATTGAACAGCCGAACATCAAGAAATTAGGCTCAAAGTTAGGTTCCCAAAAAAAGCTGAGTATTCCGATATTGTAACGATACCAGATCTTGTTTTTTGAGCCTAGTAGGCTCCGCAAGAACTAGAAGCAAGATTACGGCAATTTTTTTGAAAGTAGACTTTTCTTTTGAATGCATTCATTAAAAGAAATAATTTGATTTTGTATGTGGTGATTTGATTTGCATTTGAAATTGTCGATTTTCATTTCCATTTTTCCATTGTCTCGTTAATTAGAGAAGCATTTAAAGCCTTCCAAAGCCTTAAACTTAGCAATTAACAGGAAAATTCAAAGAAATCCCACCTTTATATTGATCGCACATTCCACTTGATCTCGATTTTCGAGAGCTTTCTCTATAATAGCCGATTTTTATATGAAAATGGTGTTTTTCATTGTTTAGCTAAGTTTTAACTAAATTTCAACTAAATTTCCACTCACTTTTGGTGTATTATAAGCCCAAGGAAGAAAACGATGAGGAAAGGGATGAAGGCGAGCTTTTGAACGAGACGGTTTCCCCAGATTGATCGTGGCATGCACCTGGAAAAGTCAATCACTTTCGATTTTGGTATCCCAATTTTTTTTTCTAAAATGTCCCAACTCTTGTAAAATACCGTTATTAAGGAATTTTCTACAAAACCGATTAGAGTGTTTTCTTTGTGAAGGCTTTTCTGAAAGATGGGCAATTTAGAAAACTCCATAATCTTCTTTCAGCTCACTCAGATCAGCTCACCCAGATCAGCTCATTCAAATCAGCTCACTCAAATCAGCTCACCCAGATCAGGTCACTCAGATCAGCTCACTCAGATCAGCTCAATCAGATCAGCTCACCCGGATCAGCTCATTCAGATCAGCTCACTCAGATCAGCTCACTCAGATCAGCTTAATGCTTTCATTGATCGTCTAAACGAATGAAAGCATTTCATCGTCGATTAGCAATTCATCGTCTAGATCATCGATGACAAATTCGAAAGGAAAATCACGGTTCAAACTATTCAGCTTTTAGAAAACAGTTACTCTCAATGACACACTCAAATCGTTGACTGGCCATTTGATCCGCGCCCCGCCACTTTTCCCATTAGTACTTTAACTTTGAGCTCAAACTTCTTGGTGTTCAGTTGTTTGTTCTAATATTCTTGGTATTGTTGGATTCGCCGCGTCTTTCTCTATCGATTGGTACGAAAACTATTTGAATTGAACAGTCCAACACCAAGAAACTTGAGCTTCAGAGTCAGACCACCAATAGCAAAGGAACAGGGCAATCAAATGCCCCACAATCCAAATAGACATAGAAACAAAAAGCGTAGAAAACGAATACCATCTAGAAATTGTTTGGAAAAGAAATCTTTTACAAGAATTTAACTAGACCATTAGCTATTGTTGCTTTATATTCTGCACAGTCATTTGACTTTTAGTTATCAAAAATTGATTCCATACAATACAATGTACAATATACAATACAATTTCATTCAAAGAATCCCTTTACTAGTACAGAAAACTGCAAAAAAATATCTATTTCTTCAAATTTAATGACATAAAAATTGACAGAAAATCAATAGATTTTGAATTTTTCATTTGGATCGCTTTTCGAAGGGTTTTTTAAAGAAAAGACATTTTTGGGAAAGAACTTAGTGAAAAAAAGGTGAGATTGATAAAAAAGAGGTAAAAGAAAAGGTGTTAGGAAAAAGGAAAGGAAAGGAAAAGGAAACGGAAAAATTAGAGAGAAAAAAAGGGACTATCCTTGTGTCTTTTGAAGACGGTTTTCATTACACAACTCACTTTCGAAGAAGGGAAATTATTAAGTTTATTCCGGAGTGTGACACAAAAAAACAACAACGACACTTATCACTTTAAAGATCTCCCAGCGAGAGCTTTCTCGAAGGTAGTAAAACAGACGAAATCTTTTGTCTATGAGTCGGTGCCTCTCTTTCGTATTCTTTCTGAAGCTTGGTGTATTGTGTGCTGCTCTTTTGGCATTACCATTGTTAAATCGATCAAATTTTAGTACTTTTTGCTTTACGCCACAGTCGTAACGCCTCTTGAATGCGGATCTGAGAAGGCTCATTCTATGACAAACGTTAACGAGCCGACAGCGAAAAGTTTTTTGAAGTTTTCGAGATGTACCCGCGGAGTTTGCATAAAAAGGTCGTCCATCTCGATCAACGATTGAAATTCATCGACGAAATGGTAACCAATTTGGAACCAATTTGGAACCAATTGGGAGCAATAGCAAACCAAATCGGAATCAATTTGGAACCAATTTGGAACCAATTTGGAGCCAATTTGGAGCCAATTTGGAGCCAATTTGGAGCCAATTGCGAACTTAATGGGAACCAAATGAGAACCAAATCGGAACCAAGTGGGAACCAAATGGGAACCAAATGGTAAACAATTGGGATCCAAATGCGAACCAAATGCGAACCGATTCAGCTACAATTCGAAGCCCAATAGGAACCAATTGAGAACCAAATGGAAAACCAAATCCAGAACCGCCTGGGAACGAAATGGGAACCAATTTGGAACCAATTGGGATCAAATGGCACCAAATCCGAACCAAGTGCGAACCAATTGAGAATCAAATGGAAATCTTGCACAGTTTGCATAAAGGTTGTAGATAAAATGTTAGTCTTTTGAGTAATTAAGAATATACAGAGTGTCGGAAAGGGTATTTTGTTCTTTTGTTCTTTTTGAGCAAAAAAGTAATATTTTAATAAATAGTTCGTGCAAATGAGCAAATAGAGTAAATGAGCTTTAATGGTAACCGAAAGAAAAACTGAAAACGTAAAAGATGGGAAAGTGAGTTAACAATGTGACAAAACAAAACAAGTGAGTTAAGAATCTGTAAAATGATAAGAATACTGTGAAAGTTTAGGATTTTCTCTAATTAAATCATGTTAGAATGAAAGTATTTGATTGGATGACTGGGCAAGATGTTCAAAAGCCAGTTCAGAGCCAGGTCCAGGTCTGGTTTCTAGGCCAGTCAGAACAGAAAACCAGGACAGGAGCATAAAAGCCATTCGATTAGCGATTCGCTGTTTATTGATTCAGAGAGGAGTGTACTGAAATTTTATCCGCTTTAAAGAGCATTTTACATTTTTAAAACTTACATTCTTGAGACCGGTGCTGCGGAATGGAACCTCGTGTTGTTGGGATGTCGACTCGAGCTGTGAAATACTGCAATTGGTCCAAATTTTAGTATTTCATTTAGAAATTTGCTTTACCGACTGCGTTGACGTTGAATTGAACGGCAGAAATTGAATAATTTGAGATTCCCGGTCAAAGCAACAATGATGACGCCAATGATGATTGCAATGACGATCGCAATGAGAATCACGATGATCACGAGGGCAACGATCAACAAATACGATTGAAGTACGTCCAGGATCCGATCTGAAATAGTGAAATTAGTTACAGGTCTAACTAGGGGGAAGGTCAGATTTGGATCAGATCAATCCGAACCAAAGCTAGATTACTTACGCAAGTTACGGGCAAGAGGAGAATGCAATCGAAGCTAAAAACTACAAGCTAAAGACTCAAAACTATTCAAAATTCAACTTATTGCTTAAAAAATAAAAATAAAAATGTAAAAACATCGATCTAAAGCGGATCGAAGTAGGGATGTTAAGAATGCGAGACAGCGGCACTATAACTCCTTGTTATAGTGCTGCTTGTACTACACGACCAGATCACTTGTTTGGTGAGTGGCGGTAACCGTTAGAAATTCGATATTCGTTCAAATTTCAAATGTGTTTGTATAGAAATCTAGAGCATTTAGGCAAAAAAAAAACTAAAAACACGATCGTGTTGCTCGTGGCTGACTTGCGTAAAATCATAAAGCTTTAGCTCGAGTTGCGAAATCTCACTGTTCCCCTAGTAAAAGTAAAGAAATCGACTTATAAAGTAAATTCAAGTTTATCGAAATCGTTTTTTGAAATCGTTTTCTGGATTGCTACTGTTTCTTATTGATTTTGATAATAAAATTTAGAGATAGCTGAAGAAAAATTAGATGAAAAAAGAAAACGAACGATCCCGGCAGATGTTTCATTTGGATGATACTCGCTTGTTGAGTTGAATGAACTGAAAACGTTGTTTAGATAGAGCGCGTACAATTTACAATTTCATTTTCTGATTTCATTGCTCTCAAAAATCTTAGCTACTCTTTCAAAGCTTTTAAAAAGCACATTTAGAAAGTACATTTTTAGAAAGCACATTTTAGAAAGTACATTTTAGAAGTACATTTTAGAAAGTACATTTTAGAAAGCACATTTTAGAAAGCACATTTTAGAAAGTACATTATTATTAAGAGCATTGGTAGTAGAGTGTGTTCCTCACGAGTAATACGCTTTTAAAACGCATACTTGGGAAAAATTACCGTACAATTTTAGCAAAAATTATTGTAAAAATAGCGGAAAAATCACGAGCCCCGCGCCTTATATACGTCACTTTTTAAAGATACTCAGCCAATGTAAAATGTAAAATGCCTTCCAATGTAAAAAATAATTTTTTTGAAAAACCGACCAAAAAATTCCTTTCATATTTTCTCCTTCGCGCCGGCGCACTTTTCAGAAAACGCATTACTCGACAATTACCAGAGCTATTACTCGAGTAAAAGATTATCTCGTGCAAATTTATTCGAGTAACTACTTACTCGCGAGGAACACACTCTAATTGGTAGAATAATCTCACCTCCGCATACGTAAGTTGAGCACAATAAGATAAGCAAGATTTGCTTCATTTTCTGAATCGATTGATTAGATTTGAAAAATAATATTAGCGTGCGAATATCTGTGAAAAAATAATCGAAAAAAAACAGCTTGTGAAGGCGAGGGCTTGTCTGCTGTGATAACGAACAATTGGCTTTTAAGTGACTGACCGTGCCATCCGGTGACCTCATTTGCACCGACAACGCATACCTTAATGTTTTTAGTTGAACACTTGTAAAATTTTTAGGTTTCAACATCATGAAAGCGTGTTGATGGAAACGGAAGTTAGGGAATAAACGTAGGTAGGCTGGGTTGGTGATGGAGCAAAAGGGGAATAAACGTAGGTAGGCTGGGTTAGGTGATGGAGAAAAGGGGAATAAACTAGGTAGCTGGGTTGGTGATGGAGCAAAAGGGAATAAACGTAGGTAGGCTGAGGTTGGTGGGATGGAGCAAAGGGAATAAACGTAGGTAGGCTGGGTTGGTGATGGAGAAAAGGGAATAAACGTAGTAGGCTGGGTTGGTGATGGAGAAAAAGGGAATAAACGTAGCTGGGTTGGTGATGGAGAAAAAGGGAATAAACGTAGGTAGGCTGGGTTGGTGATGGAGCAAAAGGGAATAAACGTAGGTAGGCTGGGTTGGTGATGGAGCAAAAGGGAATAAACGTAGGTAGGCTGGGTTGGTGATGGAGAAAAAGGGAATAAACGTAGGTAGGCTGGGTTGGTGATGAAAAAAGGGAATAAACGTAGGTAAGCTGGGTTGGTGATGCAAAAAGTTAAGCACGCAATGCCAGCAACGCAAATTTTGCATATCCCCAGCACGCACCCACTGGACTGACCAACACCACAATAAATATCAGAGAGTTGAAGCGAGAATCATTCGAGATCATTATCATTATCATTATTTATCATTCGAGAAACCCAATCTTACCCGCCACCCCAATCCACCCCAAACTTGAGTACTGAAAGTTTAAAATGTGCCCTTTAAATGAGCCTGGTGTACATATTTCATGTTATAAAGCGATTTTCTTGCCGGAAGCCTAATCATTCACACAGATTCACACAGCCAGAGCTAAATGTTCGATTTTAGCTTATCCTAACTACAATATGGATAGATTTAAACGTATAGGTAAAATGACTAATAACATAAAAGCCTAAAAAGTTCTCTCTTCTATATAGATGCCCTTATCTGGCTGGTCATTTGATCTGAATATTTATACTTTATCTTTTCTATACAGCTAACCGTTGTGCCTAGAGTAAAGAGCTAATCCTTGAAGATTCAGCTCTGAAATGAGCTCTGTGAAACACTACATCTAGTTACAATTATCATTTGGCAGAGTTTATTTGTTCTTAAGTACTTGAGTTCAGTTCTTGGGTACTCTTAAGTTCAGTTTTTAAGTCAAAGCCCTTACTAATGAAGAAATATCGAAGAGCCGTGGTTAAATAATTTTAAATCAAAATGTACAAAGAGGCAAAATTGAATTTTTCAAGTTATATTGCAAGTAGAATTGGTCGAGTTAACAAAAAAAAATGATTTCCTTAGTAACTCGTTTCAAACAAAGACGGCTACAGAAAGCAAAAGGTTCAGAATCATATGTGGCAATTCGATCGGCGAAACTGTAGTCAGGCGAAACTGTAGTCAGACGAAGCTGTATGACATGGAGTGAATCGGCGGGTGAATAAAAATGAATGAGATGATTCTTATCACTCTTCTCAAAATATTCAATGAATGTTTACATATTTTCAGGAAATGGCGTGATAAAACAAGAGAAATGGTAAAACAAAAGATAAAACAAGAGAAATGGCGTGATTAAGATGGATGAATTAAATGAATTGGCTGTTGTGAATTGGATGGATTGATGAATTGATTGTTATGAATGAATAGATTGATTGTTAAAGCTTTATTGTTTAAAGCTGTTTGCTTAGGAGTAAACGGATATGGACTAGAATTTGGGTTAACTTAAAGAGTGGATTTCTTTTGATATCCTATCATCTCTAACACCCCAACAACCCGACTCAACTCCTTCAGCGTATTAGAGGGGAGTCCCCCTCCACCCAACATATTCTATAACTTAAGTCAAAATCTTGACAGCCAATCTAAAGAAGATTAGATTTTGTTACAAACTCGTAACAGATACTACGGAAGGCAAGTTGTAGTTTGACCCTTGTTTGCTTTAAATTCTTTGTTCGCTTTGAAAAACTCTTCTCGACATACCATTCCGGGACACCTCACTGATAGAATAAAATAAGAGAAATGGCGTGATTATGAAAGAGATTTTTGTGAAAAGGGTGAATAGCCGGGGATCGGGGGGAATGAAAAGGCGCGAAATACGTATAAACGCATTGAATATTTTGAAAAGAGTGATCCTTATCAGCCTCTTTAACTTTCTTTTTCTACTGTCCTCGAGTTGATTTTTGCGTTAAGCGTTATATTTTTTGTATTCTTCGTTTGCTTTGAAAAGCTTCTCTTGACATTCCATTCCGGGACACCTCACGCAAACTACGCAATACAAGTTAGAGCCACTAAACAAAGTCGTTTACCGCTTGTACAAAAGAAATGGCGTGATTAAGAAAGAGATTCTTGTGAAAAGGGTGAATAGCCGGGGGAATCGGGGAATGAAAAAGGGAATGAAAATAGAGTATACTCAATTGCATAGGTTGCCAAATTTACAGGAAGATCCCTCCAACCGTTTCCGCTAGGTCACAGTTTATAGATTTTGTGAAAAATGGCCTTTTTGTTGAGTTGAGGCGCTGTTTGAGTTCTCTTTTAAATATTATTTGTAGAGAATTAGTTACCCTTCTACGGATATCAAACGCATATCATTTGACAAAGTCTGTTATAAGTTTTACAAATTTCCTTTTCATTTTCGGCGCCGACTCATTCCCCCCAACCCAATAGCTTCAACTTTTAAAAACATTAATTCAAATTATGTGAAACAAAACTATGCGGGCAATACAAGTTAGAGCTACTAAACAAAGTCGTTTATCGCTTGAAAAAAAGGCTCAAAAGTTTGCTTTGAGTGCCAAAAAGTAACCGTTTTGACTGTTTCAAGACTCTACCAAAAAGTAAACCGTTTTAGCTGTTTCAAGAAAGTGTAAGACCGCAATTTTGCAGCAATTTCGTGTAAATTTAAAGATTTTAAACGTTTAAATCATCTAAATTAAGTTTTTTAACTTGTTTACATTCGTAAAGATCATTTCTGAATACGTAACGCCAAGATTTTGTGCTCAACATGACTCATTTCCCCTCACAACTTCTCTGATATCTGCTGTGGAATCTGCTGATTAGGCAGATCCCTGATAAGTTGATCGCCGATTGATCGACAAGTTCGCTTCACAGGTTAAGTTTGCTCACAGGATCAGGGTTCGATCCCTTGTGCAGCTTTTTCGTTTGTTTTTCTTCCTTTTGAAACCAAATTTTCAATTGAAATTTTACACGTTAGGAAAGTCATCTGGGATATTTTGATTTCAGATTCGGATTCCACATAGCCACTCCTATAAAGTGCAAAGGATGTGAAAAGGTCACCTTGAGTTTGTGCTTTTCCTGGTTAGGTTAATTAATAAAAACATCATTCGGTCATATCCACATTTGCGTCAAATCGACTATCACTCTGCAAAATTTGCAATCTTTGCAATTAGCATTAAAAAGCCTCATTAAACTAGTGAAAGTTTTCAATTTCAATTTCAATTTCAATTTTTCCATTTAAAATAGCAAATCAATCAATTTTATAGGAATAGAATGCAAAAGGAATTCAGATTTTTGTAATGCAAATTGCAAAAATGGAAATTTAAAGGGATTTAACCGATTTGATTTAATGAGAAATAACCATAAAGTATCGAAATTTGATCGATTTAACAATGGCAATGGCAAAAGAGCAGCACAAAATACACCAAGCTTCAGAAAGAACAAGAAAGAAAGGCACCGCCTTTGATAGACAAAAGATCTCATCTGTTTTACGCCTTCGAGAAAGCTCTCGCGATCTTTGAAGTGATAAGTGTTGTCCTTGCTTTTTTGTGTCACACTCCGAATCGGATAAAATCACGCCATTCCTTTTTCGTATCATCAGTGAGGTGTCCCGGAATGGCATGTCAAGGGAAGTTTTTCAAAGCGAACGAAGAATTTAAAGCAAACAAGGGTCAAAACACAACTTGCCTCCCGTAGTTGCCTCAGAACTTGCCTCCCGTAGTTGCCTCAGAACTTGCCTGATTACGAGAGTTTGTAAACAAAAATCTAATCTTCTTTAGATTGGTTGGGAAGATTTTGACTTAAGTTACAATTAAATAAGTCGGCGAACTGTTTCTGGGGAAACGTGTTACTTCAATTGGTCGTTTTCATTTCATTTTTTCATCTTATTTTTCGCTCTCAAGCCCCTCGAACACTGGTCAGCAATTTCCGGGACACCTCACTGATATACGAAAAACAAACAAACAAGAGAAATGGCGTGATTTTATCAGATTCGGAGTGTGACACAAAAAGCAAGGACAACACTTATCACTTAATGATCTCTTAGAAAATGCGACAAATCTATATATTACTTACACAAGTTAAGGGGAAAAGAATGCAATCGAAGCTAAAGACTACAAGTTTTGAAGTACATTAATTTGAAAGTATTGGTAGAGTAATCTCACCTCCAAATACGTTAGTTGAGCACAATAGAATAAGGAAGATTTGTGCATTTTCTAAATCGATAGTATATTATTTATTATGAGGTAAATGCATAAGAAATGCGGATTTCAACATTTTCAACATAAATTCCCAACGATAGAAAGCTGATGTTATAAACGAGAATCGATGAATGTTATAAACTATTTTTGAAAGTTGTAAATCTCCCTACAAATAGACTAAAACGTGTTTCAATTAATCGAAGCATTGAAGAGATTTCGAGGGCGAAATGCGAGTGACCAAAAGAAGGAATCGAGTCACTTTAGGGGCAAGTTTAGTGTCGTCAAAAAATAGAGTTAGCTTCCCAGAATTGAAGCTTTAAAACAAGAAAGGATAACTATATATGAATTTATTAAAAGTCTAATGGAAATGCATTTACAGAAATTTAGATAGAGCGTAAGTTCAAAACCCTCTAAATTGTCAAAAAAACCGGCTTATTCACAAAAAAGAAAATTGTAAATACAAAGTTTTCCCATGAAATGATCCAAACTCTTAATTATTTTGAATAATATTGAATGATATTGAATAATATTGAATGATATTGAATGATATTGAATGAAAGGCGCTCATTTTCCACTATATAGTCAAAGCCGAACTCTTGTGAAAGTGGGATTTTCAAAAAGTGTGTTTTTGGTCACTCGCATTTCGCCCTCAAAATTTTTCAATGGTTCGATCAATTGAAACACGTTTTAGGTTTTAGGGCGTTTTGGGGCAAACACCTATAGTTGAGAGGCAAACGGCAAACGGGGGCAAACGGCTCCCAGCAAACGGCTATAGTGAAATCTTCAATTTTTTTGGAAAGCTAACTCTATTTTGACGACACTAAACTTGTCCCCTAAAGTGACTCGATTCCTTCTTTTGGTCACTCCGCATTTTCACCCCTCGAAATCTCTTCAATGCTTCGATCAATTCAAACACGTTTTAGGTTTTAGGGCGTTTTGAGGGAAAACAGCTATAGTTGAGATTGACAATTGATTCAGAAAAACAAAAATAGTTATGCGGTATTCGCCACACCAAAATCGGACTTTTCGTCTAGACTCGTTAAATAAAAATGTCGAACTTTTAATCGGAAGAAGAATTGAAAAGGAAAGGGTCTTTCCCTGTTTATATGAAAGTATATAAAAGAAAATGGGCTGATTTAATGATAAGAAAGAGGGGAGGGGACTAAAAGAAGAAGAAAGGGATCGACGTAACCAAATCTGGTCACTCCAGGCTAACATTTTCTATTCTTGACTCGGAAATGTTTTAGATCGGCAACGCAAAATTTTGAATCTTTTAAAAGATTTAAAGACAATTTTGAGGGTTTTGAACTTACGCTCTATCTTAATTTCTGTAAAATGCATTTCCGTTTGACTTTTTAATGAATTCATATATCGTTATTTCTCTTGTAAAACATTAAAGCTGTTCTAAAATGGAAAAGAAAAGAAAAGAGAAATTCTTTAAAAGTGTGCAAGTGATCCAAAAACGCACATTTTTCAGCCTTTTCTTCACATCCCTCCCCAATCGGGACTTCCTTGCTTTGAGCGAGCGAGTAGGTGGCACCCACTGGACTGACCAACACCACAATGAATATCAGAGAGCTGAAGCGAGCATTCGAGAAACACAATCTACCCGCCACCTCAAACTTGAGTACCTGAAAGTTTACTGCTGGCCTTTACTGGTAAAAATAAACCCTTTACTGGTGTACATATTTAATTTTATAGCGCGACTTTCTTATTAGAAGCTCAATCAAATCACACCGATACACACAGCCAGAGCTAAATTTTCTTTTTTTATCAAATGTTTTCTGAATCCCTTCCTTCAGTTCTTTGCTTTCTTTGAAAAACATTTGTAGATAGGAAAGAAAAAAGAGAAAAGATTCCTTTGTAATGAAATTTTTGAAGAGATAAATCAATTTTGTTCTTTTTCTAATCGAGACTTACGTAGAAGGGGAATTTGTGGCGTCAAACTGAATAAAAAAAGAAAGAAAAGAAAGTAGAGAATAAGAAGAGGGTTGTGGACGGTAGCTTTGATATCAAACTTTCTTGAAAAAAGAGAAAGAGAGGCTAAAATTGGCTTTGTTTTCGACCCAAATTTAGCCGAGTTTGGAGATAAATGAAGGAAGGAATTGAAAGTGATTGGAAATGATTGCACCCAGATTGGTCACAGATCGTGCAAGTGAGTTAGGAAAGGACTCGCCCAGACAGAAAAAGTGAGCAGAATACTTTTGACATATTCACGAGTTGGGTACTTATGAAGTTTTATCCGTGCAGTACTACCTACTCTTAAAGTCTCTTACCTAGTCCAGCTCTTAGCCATGCTTTGCTTTCAGACGCACTCAAAGCAAAGCACTCAAATCCGTAAAATTGTTGTGTGAGTGTGCTAGATCGGATACGTTTCATTTGGGTTTAAATCTACGATGGGTGACGACGCGGTATGGTCAAAGTGGTCTTTGTGGTCAAAGTGGTCAAAGTGATCGCGGTATGGTCAGCTCCATTCCGGATATGGCCAGTATAACCTGGACCGGAAGAGACCTGGACCTGGACCTAGACCGAAAGAGACGAAACAGGAACCGGTACCAAGAGCTCCTCTTATGGAAAAGCCCTGCGTCAGACGTCGAAGCGGATTACGCGGTCACACAAAGAAATACCTCGATCGGCTGTGATAACTTTGTGACAATCAAAACATTTTTCCCAGTCATTGGCTAGTCAAAACGTTGGCTTGCTTTTTCTTTGTTTTGTTAAAAGCAAAAGTATTGTTAAAATGATTTCATTTCCCCCTTTTGATCCTTCCTTTTAAAAGTTTGAGTGAGATGATAAGCGTTCACTCTCTGTGGTTTTCCCCAAAAATCCTTAAAGAAAGAGAAAAAGAAAGAGCAGACAGAACTTGTATACACTCAAGAAGACAAAGAGAAAGTAAAGAAAACAAAAAAAAAGCAGATATTATGTGCGACTTTCAAAGCCAGGGATTTGCGCCAAAGATGGGAAGAAATCATCGATAATAATCGCAAATATCTTTTGGATTAAAGTTTTGTAGAATAAGAAAGTTGTTACCTAAAACGGAAGTTTGAAAGTTGCCAACCTAATATCAGAGATGATCTCCCGTTACCCAGAGGGAGTTTACTTTTTACTTCTTCTTTTTAACTTACTTCTTTACTTCTTTTTGTCTGTCTGTTGTCTGTCTGTCAGGCCGTGTCTGTTGTAACCATAACTCAATAAAAATGCCATTAAAACATATCAAAATCACAGATTAGAAAGCCACTCAAGAAATGACTCAAGTTCAACAGTTTCGAAACTAAATTTCTCTACTAACCGGACAAAAAGCCACATTCGCGTTTCGTTTCGTGTCTCCCGTTCAACTGAAAACAAAACTTTAGCGACGTAATGGCAATGGAAATCCGAAACGGAAACGAATAGAAATCTCTAATGTTTGCTACCTTTTAAGACTTAACTTTGCTAAGTTTCGTGTTTAAGTGCGAATTGAAAAACATTGACTCGCCTTCGCAGAATTACCTTGGCTCTTGCCTGGCAAGGCCAATACTACAAATTCACTGTTCTCCCCTTTAGGTCTCATCCCAGCTCTGTGGGTTTTTACGAAACTGTTTCGTGCACTAGCTAATCACTTTAGGGTCTAAATCGTTCAGATTTTTCGTTATCTAGATGATGGGTTTAGTCTTTGCTGATAGCCACAAAATGATATTGAGAATGAGAGGCATAGTGTTGGAGACACTTCGAATAGAGTTCGAGACACTGGATAGAGTTCGAGGCCTGAATAGAGTTCGAGACACTGAATAGAGTTGGAATCACCCCTGCAATCGAGAAGTGTGTTTGGGAACCAGTTGCTGGATTTTCTTGGATTCACTGCGAACTTATATCTGTTTCTCAAAGCCGGATTGAGAAAGCACAAATGCAAGTTAAGCCTTATTAAACGGTGACTGTACACTAAGGAATTGTAAACGTTTTATTGGTTACGTTATCTCTATGCATTTGGTGGTTTTAGACGAAGTTCGATCAACGTGTTTCACTTCATAAATAGTGGTTCAACTCGAGGCTGCGATGACGGCCGTCCACAAACCAGTCCAGCCAACAAAGAAGAAAGCTGAATGGACAGAATGTGCCAAGGGTTTGACGCAGCCGGTGAAGCAAAATCTCGGTAATCGTCTTAACGGGTGGACAAGTTCTGTTTACTGATGCATTGGCATCAGCATTAAAAGCGGTATTAGTCACCCCTGGGGGTGCGTATCGAGCGGCTACAAATTTGACGGAATCAGAAAAACTTAGATCAAGCCTTCACCGAGAACTACTAGAAATCAATTTTGGGCTTCCTTCATTTATGAGGCAGTATGCTCCAGGCCTCCAGGCTAAGGTTAACTTTTTCTTTCGAATTCTTCTGCCATATGAACAATAACGGACAAAAGATTATCATTTCGCGAATTTCTCTCTATTTTTGAAGAGCTATAACTCAGAGCCTCTATCGTAGACTGGAAGTGTTATAGTGATTCTGAAAGCCTAAAACGAGCTCGATAAGCTTTATTTGCTTTTAACAGTACTTTAATTTTTGACACATTTCGGGGTGCCAAATTGGATTTAAAAAACAACATTTTCAGCGCTGTTTTTCTTGTTGATGCCGTGCTCTCATCATCTAAATTTTCTAGGATTCACAGTGAATTTACAAGACGAATCAATTTCCCAAAGCCGGATTGAAAAAGCACAGCTGCAAGTGTTAGCGTTGATTAAACGGTGGCTGTACACTAAGAAATTGTAAACGTTTTATTGGTTACGTTATCTCTACGCATTTCATGGTTTTAGACGAGGTTTTAGACGCGTTTCATTTGACAAGAGTGAGCGCAGCTCGAGGCGACTCGAGGCTGATGACACCCGTTCCAAACCAGTCCAAGCCAACAGAGAAAGCTGAATGGACGAGGTGTGCCTAGCGTTGTACGCGGAAATGACCATTGACGAAATGATGCGAAATGAACCAGTGACCCGAAATCTCCGAGGTAATCGTCTCAACAGGTGGACAAGTTTTGTTTACTGATGCATCGGCATCAGGATTAGAGCAATATTAGTAACCCCATGTCGAGCGGCTACCGATTTGACAGATTCACATAGACTTTTATCAAGCCTTCACCGAGGTACTAGAAATCAATTTTGGGCTTCCTTCGTTTATGTGGCTTGTAGCTCCAGGCCTCTAGGCTAAGGTTCACTTTTCTTTCGAATTCTTCTGCCATATAAACAATATACACGAATATACACGAACATAGATATACACGAACTTTGAAAGCTACTCCCCACGAAATGTTGGGTAATATTGCAGCATGAATGGATAGTATGCAATGATTCATCCTCACGAATTTTGTTCATAAAAATTTATCTAACGTCTCAAAGATAACACTAAAACAAATCAAAGGGGTTTCCTTCGTTCATCAAAGACAGTTTCAGAAAGACAGATTCAGGATTAGATGTGGCCAAATTTGATATGGCGTGAACGTGAATAAAGCGAGAGATAAAGCCTTTCTTGTTCAGGACCTTAGGCTCTTTTCGGACTCAACCAAATAGTATTTTTTTGTTGAAATGACCAATCCAATATAACTTGAAGAATTCAATTTTGGCTCTTTGTTCATTTTGATTATTTAACTAGGGCTCTTTTGTCTTCATTAATAAGGGCTTTGACTTATCTTCATTAATAAAGACTTGGACTTAAACTTAACTCCAAAACTTAATAGAAAATAGGCTTTTCCAGATGATAAGTGTTAACTAGATTTGGTCTTTCACTGAGCTCAGTTCAGAGCTGATCTTCCAAGGATTAGCTCGCTTTACTCTAGGCACAATGGTTAGCTCTTTTGTAGAAAAAGGTAAAATATCAGATCATCTGACCAAAGCCAGATGAGCATCCATACAGCAGAGAGACTTTTCGGGCTTGTATGTTATTAGTCATTTACCTATACATTTAAATCTATCCATAGTGTAGTTAGGATAAGCTAAGGTCAGGCTTTTAGCTCTGGCTGTGTAGATCTGTGTGAATAGTCTGGCTTCCCGTAAGGAAATCGTTTTTAACATGAAATATATTGCCCCAGGGCTCATTTTAAACTTTCAGTACTCAAGTTTGTGGTGGATTGGGGTGCGGGTAGGTGGGTTTCTCAGTGCCTTCCAACTCTCTTGTCTTTATTGTGGGATTGGTCAGTCCAGTGGGTGAGTGCTGGAGATATGTTTTTTTGCTGGCATTGCGTGTTTAGCTTTTTTCCATCACCAATTGACCTACCTACGTTTATTCCCTAACTTCCTTTTCCATCAACACGCTTTTATGATGTTAAAACTAAAGTTTTACAAGTTTTACAAGTGTTCAACTAAAAACAATTAGGTATGAGTTGTCGATGCAAATGAGGTCACCGGATGGCACGGTCAGTCCTTAAAAGCCAATTGTTTGTTATCACACCAGACAAGTCTCGCCTTCACAAACTGTTTTTTCCATTATTTTTTCACAGATTTTTGCACGCTAATATTATTTTTAAATCTAATCAATCGATTCAGAAAATCAAAACAAATCTTCTTTATTTTATTGTGCTCAACTCGTATTCGGAGGTGAGACTACTCTGCCAATACTCTCAAATTAATGTACTTTCTAAATGTGCTTTTTTTCAAAGCTTTGAAGAGTATAGTAGCTAGGTGCTGAAACAATGAGATCAGAAATAAATTGTAAATTGTACGCGCTCTATCTAAACAACGTTTTCAGTTCATTCAACTCCAACAAACAAGTGATCATCCAAATCAAACATCTGCCGGACATCATTCGTTTTCTTTTTCCTCTAATTTTTTCTTCAACTATCTCTAAATTTTATTATCAAAATCAATAAGAAACAGTAGCCATTCCGAAAACATTCAAAAAACGATTTCGATAAACTTGAGTTTACTTTATAAGTCGATTTCTTTACTCTTATATTACTAGGGAACAGTGAAGTTTCATAATTCGAGCCAAAGCTTTATAAGTTCCACAAGTCAGCCGCGAAACAACACGATCGTGTTTTGTATTCTGATACACCACTTTAGTTGTATTTTGAATAGTTTTTTCTTTAGCTCGTAGTCTTTGCTTCGATTACATTCTTTTGCCCGTAACTTGCGTAAGTAATATGGCTTTGGTTCAGTTTGATCTCATCGAAATCGGACCTTTCCCTAGTTGGACCTGTAACTAATTTCACTATTTTAGATCAAATCCTGGACGTACTTCAATCCTATTGGTTGATCATTGAAAATGGTGTCACAATCATTTTCACAACGCAATTGAGTAATGCCCATTTCTAATTGAAATACTAGGTGGGCCAATTGCAGTATTCCACGAGCTCGAGTCGACATCCCAACAACACAGCGGTTGCATTCCGCAGCACCGGTCTCTAAAATGTAAGTTTAAAAAATGTAAAATGGTCTTTAAAGCCGATAATTTCAGTACATCACTCTTTTGAATTTTATGACTGGATAGTTTAATTATACTTTTTCCGATCTTCCTATTCATTATGATCGTAATCTTCATTTCTTGGCACTTGGCAAAAACTAACACAACCATGAAATTCCTGAACACGCCCCTCATCAGTAGCAATCTAGTGCATAATAGACTGATAATTTTATTTTTGTACAAAGACAGTTAAAACCGGCAAAAAAATTATCAGGACAAAGAACCGGAATTACAGATGAAAATGAACACGAATGACTATTTACTGAACAAGCTTTTCATCTCTTGGGGTGTTATCAGTTGTTCGAGTGTTCAATGTAGGTATTCGACAAGTCGGCTGAAACCATGGCGAAAATCGAGCGAACCTTTGGATCCGGATTGGCACTTGATAGCACGTTCCCACAACTTGATCTGAAATATCTACATTTTGTTTATCTCATTTTCTCCAGCTAAGCGTCTTGCAATTAGTTTTTTGTGCACTTCAATAGTTTAGCTTCAAAAACTATCAAACCACTTACTCAAGTACAGTCATTCGCATAAATGGAGTCGTCACAACTGTGTGCATAAATATTGCCCGCTTTGTAAATATATTACTCCTCCCATTTGCTGTTTTACTTTTTGGCATCAGTGGCGTTCGTTGAAATGGCCGTGGTGTGTAAGGATGTTTTCTGTTAAATGGAGATCGAGAAAACCACGATCGAGTGCCGGTCCTCCTCTTGACATTTGAAATGGACTCTTGAAAGAAGTTGGATAAAAGGGCATTTAAACGTGAATATAACAAATTTACATGCCAAGCAATGTTATCGCGTGGTATAGTTAACTAGATCGCATAAACTTGCTCCATTGTAGCATATTTAAAGTTTTCAAGTTTGTATTCCTACGGGTAATAAAATACCTATTAAATGCCGTTGTTCGTTCATCTCCATTGTTTTCTTGAATTTTCGCGATATTCACTCCCATGGCTGAAGCTGTAGTCGCGAGCTTAACAAATATTAGTTGTTATTTAAATTATTAACAATTACCTCCTCCAAGTTGTAAAACCTCGGCGCTAAAGGTGTCGAGAGACGTTTCATCCTCTTCGGTCGTTCCCACTAAAATATTCCAAGTAACGTCAAAATTCCGCTTAACTTGCATCTTGACTAGCCATTACATTCGGTGAGATTATTCTAGATGAAATAGGCTCATGTATTGGTGATAAATTTTGATCCATCGCCAGGTGAATCATTCTAAGAAGTTGAACATCAGTCACGGTTGTAATAAAAAGTTGTACTCTTAGATAATACCGACTTCATTTTGCCATTTTCAAGCGTCCGAAACATATCAAGCACTGTTCGTGAAAAAATAGAGACAAGGAGGCATTTGCAGGTTCTGAAGGCGATCTGAATGTAAAGTTAAGATTTGCTTGCGTAAAATCTGAGTAAAAATTCTCATATAACATGTGTTGTGAAACTTTCAAACCGTACTTCTTTGTTTCAGCTAAAATATTGATGATTGTTTCTCCGGATGTCGAAGGCTTATTGAAACTTTCTCGTCAATAACTTATCGATGGTGTCGCTTGCGTCTGTGCAACCGGTTCTGTAGGATGCAGCCTCAAAAATATAAATTATAATTAAACTATTGCTGAAAGCAAGCATAAACATCGAGACTTGTATAATAACAAGCCTTTTTCGAACAACAACAAATCCGGCTCGTCGCATTTCCCGATACGTCATCAAACAAGAAAGGAGATTGCTCGTAGAGCTAGTACCCAAAACCTGACACAACTTTTGTTATTACTATCTCAATATTATTTATACCTCTGTTCCAGTGGTATCCTCCTTCTTTTTCTTTTACGATCATGATCCAATTTCATTACAAAGTAGAATACCTAAAATGGCATGTTGCAAGAAAAAACAATCTCAAACCTCTTAAGGGTACAATGTTTGGGGTGCACCACTTTGCCCCAGGAACTCCATTGTCTGTAGATACTTTTGTCTACAAAAAAAAATAGTTTTATAGCGTTGATTAAATGGACATTGATTAACACATTAAGCTTTAACCACTCCAAAGGATTGGCCGGAAATATAGTATGCTAACGAACGTTTAAGATCTGTGGCAAACAATTGTTGAATAACTGTTGATAAGATATTCAACAAAAGACCCGTCACGCGCAACCTGTGCATGGAAAAATGACAAAACCCGATTAAACTGGCACAAAATTAAAGCAATACTAAATATCATGAAAAAGAAACTAACAAAGCAAACAAATCAAATCAATGAATATTACATCCGAATAATTAATTCTTCGTTATCTTCTTCCAGCTTTTCAATGTTTCTCCACCATTTTTCGGAATGTCCTAGTTTTTCGAAGGGCAAACTCCAAGGCGTGAAGTTGCGGTTGGATTCGCCAGGCGTTTCTTCAACTCTTCCAACGATACCGAAAAACTAAAAAGCAGTAATATATGTAATTAGTTGTAATTCTGATAAATTATATTCTCCAAATAAAGGACTATCCATATTTAGCCAAATACTACGTTACTCTTACAGCTCAATTTAACTGCAGTTGCTTCCACCAACTTTGTAGTTATTGATTACAGCCATTAAGTGGGTACAAACCTGCATAATTTTCAACTTCCTCCGCGTTTACTTCTATCCGTGACAGATCGAAGTTACGAAGGATGAGCACATAATCCATCTCGTGTTCTCCCCATGGCGAATTCGGCATCATCGCTTTGTACAAGTACTTTCCCTAAATTAAAAATAGTATTTAGGTAGCTCAAAAGTATTCAGTTCATAAAAAACATAACAAGATAAATGTCGACTATTCTTGAGAAAATGGATTACCTTAAATAAGCTCATTGCAGCCATTATTGACGTCATCATTGGCGTCATCATTTTGCTTTGACTGGGAGTCTCAAATCATTCAATGTCTGCTGTTGGAAAAGACGAAGGAACGAAATTTCGGCAGTTCTAGATAAAGTTCGATTTAAACAAAAAGAAGTGTTTGTTTGAAGTTTTTGCTTGATTCATAAATTTAAATGATGAAATTTGGCCTTAGCAATTCATTTAATCCCTTCGGCTCAAAGAAAAGTTCTGCTCAAATGATTCTAAGCTTATCATATGTACTCTTGAACACATTTCGTTGTCCTTTTACCGTCAACATTATTACCGTTATTACCGTTAACAATTTGTCATCGTCTAGATAAGTGTTTTACTTGAGAAAGGAATTCTGTGAATTTCAAAACACTTGCGAAAGTTTTTAGTGAATCAAGAGCATTTCTGGAAACTTGCCAACGCAGATTCTTAAGATCAACAGCGATTCGATCTATTCTATAAAAGACATTAAAAGCTGTTTATTCGAAAAACAGCAAGTCTTTCTTCTTCTATTTCAACTCTAAAACTAAAAGATGCTTTCCAATTCTTTCGTTTCCCTTAGACAGTACTAAAATTGTTTCCAATCCTAGTACAAACATCACTGAGTTTGCCAAATTCTTTCATGGTGTACAGAGTGCGAAATAATTGTCGTAACAAGATAAAGTTCTGATTTTAAGGCAAACAACAGCAAAAGGACAAATTTCTAACTGAATAATTTATTGAAATAACATTTATTGTACATTAACAATTATAAATGAACTATCAAATTTGAAACCATTTGCATTTGAGCAGGCTCGCAGGCGTTTCGAGAAGGCGTCAACGGTGGCGATCAAATAGGTTGCATCGAGCTCTTCCCACACTTTCAACAGTGATTTCTTCAAGCTTTCAATGTTTTTGTGGGGCTTTGAACAAGCTAACAAGCTTTGACTTCTAGAAAACCGACAACACTGAAAAATCCATTGGGTTAAGATCTAAAGAGCTAACTCAGAAAAAGAAATGAAGTCTGGGGAGTTGTTTTGGCAGAACTCTTGGACTTTCTTGGATTTGTGGACTGGTAAGTCCGCTGATTGCTTTGCGATTGCTGATAAGTCCAAAGGCGGTTTCTAAAATACTGTCTGTTTAATGCTAATTCTCTAGTTTAGACTGAAACTTGAGTTTTCTAGTGTTCACGATTTGATGAATGTTAGCGGACATTTGTTGAGCACAGCTGAGATCAAAGGAGCACTCACACAGCATCCAAAAGTTAGTTTTCTTCTTGATAGAGGTTCTTTGATATTTCAAGGAGAAAGTTCTAGTGATTTGTGCTCAAAGTGCTCAAAGAGCTTTAGTGATTGAGGGTTCTCTTTTAGAAATGTGTCATTGATCACATAATTTTCACTGATAAAATGGCATGACTAGACGGAAGAAGGAAAAGAAAAGAAAAGAGAGGCTTTAAAATGGAAATGGGTGAAAGGTCGAGACGGGATGGCAAGAACGCATTGATTTGTTTGTAGTGAGGGAGGAGATTTTGCAAATTCGAAAGTCTACTAAGTTTTCTTAAAACTTAAAACCTAAACAAAACGCTTGTACAACGTTGAATCTAATTATATACTCTTTGAAAGCCGCGAATCTGCCCCAGGCAGATAAGTTCTTGAATTTTAATCCCTACCATCGTTGTCCAATCCTTACCATCGTTGTCCAATCCCTACCATCATTGTCCAATCTCTACCATCATTGTCCAATCCCTACCATCGTTGTCCAATCCCTACCATCGTTGTCCAATCCCTACCATCGTTGTCCAATCCTTACCATCGTTGTCCAATCCCTACCATCGTTATCCAATCCTTACCATCATTGTCCAATCCCTACCATCGTTGTCCAATCCCTACCATCATTGTCCAATCCCTACCATCATTGTCCAATCCCTACCATCATTGTCCAATCTCTACCATCGTTAATCACATTGATGAACATGCTAACAATAAGTGAAAAAGTTTGATTTTGAAATTTGCATATCAAAATGGAGCAGACAAGAGCTTTTCAATATTAAATTCCCAAATCGACAACCAAAAATGAAAATGAAAAACGTGGAGAGTTTATATTATAGCATCAGATATAAAGCTTTTGTTCGTTTAAGTGTGAGTGCTTTGTGA